GACATACCATCCTTATCAAAGAAGATTCAAAATTAGTGCTACACTATCTCATTTCATCTCGGACACGTGAATAGAGTATTTAGGTTGAATATCTTCGGGTAGACTAAGTAAATCAATGCAATAACCCAATATGGTTCAAAACAACTAATGAATAAGACGTAAGGTTTGGATCCGCTAACCAGGCGCGACCAAAGGGTGTCAAGCGACATAGCGCCCGCCGTTGACGCCAAGCGTCAGAACTCGACGCTGCGGAGTCCCTTTGCAGGATATCTGGGTCACACACTGTTATTCTTATACACTAAAACGATTAAAGTGGCCTATATGAGGACGCTGAAGAAGCCGCCACCGACGATTTGCGATCATAATGGAAGTGATTAAGCGGGGTAGACAGAGGCTTTCGCTTTTAGCAGGCATCCGGGGTTAGGGTTAGTCGGTTATTTTCGGTTATACTTACACATTATGCGCTTCATGTAATTCGCCTAATTTTTGTTATGTCATAATAGTAAAATACGTAGTAAGGATTATGGGGTGATCGCTTGGTTTCAGAGATACACGTCTAGCAAATATTGCATAAAGTTGACAAAAAATAATTAAGCTTTTCAACCTGCACAAAGTATTCAAAATAATATGCAGAGGTAAGGATGTAAACCGCCATCTTGTAGACTGACAAGTCTTTTCAATACACCAGCCTTACTTATAGCAGCGCTGGCCGCAGTAGTAGATTCTTCGGCCTCCTGACCGTCGCCATGCGCTATGCGGGTTCAAATCCCGTCCCAAGAGAAACGTTTCTCTTGGCTATGGATGTTGTGATTGTCCGTAGGTGGTAGATGGTCTCTGACTGTCGAACGCAGAGGTACCACCCGGCGGATCTCGTAGGCGAGGCCAGCATGTGTGCATGTTGAGTGCACACGTGTTCCCTCGCCAGAGTCCGTATCCCCCTCTAGCCCCACGGTACCCCATGGTTGTTTAGGCATTAGGCATTCGTGGTAGTTGGAGTATAAAAAAAATCATCATCTGAAAGGTCTTAAATCCTGAGATCAAGCAGGCTTTAATTATTGAGGTTCTCCTCCTTCTTTCCAACAATATCCATTTATCAAAGTTTCTGAAGCACCTCAGTTGCTGAGTGTCGTTAAGCAAAAAGGTCCTGACCCTTGTGTATTTGAAAGATTTCGGCAGTTAGTGATGACGTGATTGAAGCAGGGGAGAGGCTGGTATAGTGTCCAGTCAGGAACAGTGGCCACTTTCTAATATTATTTCCTTGCTAGTAGGGTAGATGCACCGGTTGTGGCACCTTAAGGAATGCTTTAACTTTATTTAACTGTAATTTATTTATTAAGTTTGTTTGTAACGCTCTCGAATGACACATACACTTATAATAGTAATAGGTATATCTGTCATGAGAAAATTTATCTGACTTGAATGAAATGGGCCAGACAAACGCACATCTATTAAAATAGCTGACAAGAACAGTTTTGTTAATTGTGGTAACTTAGTTGCCACTTGTGGCCAGAGACTCCACCAGTTGTAGCCATCACAGACTTTAAGTTAACGGGCATAGACTGATGTTGGATGGCATTAAGTGCATTTTGCATGTCACTTTCCGAATATTGAAATAATTTGCGGGGAGCCATAACTTTTCCGAAGAAATAAAATTTCTGCTATTAGGTCCTCCTTTTCTACCTTGTTAGTATTAAATTTTGCCATATCTTTCTCCTTTGTGGCCACACCTGGGTTTTATGTCCCATTTGTAGTTACTAAAAGACCACCGCTGGCGCAGAAGGCACCTTTGATGCTCCTGTTTTGGCCAGTACCTACTTCAAACTGTAAAAATTTTGAGTAAAGTATTCACATTCTTACATATAATCATTCATTTACTTACCTCGTATTCCTTAACAAAATCCTTAAGAAAAGCACAACATATGCGACAGGCTTTGGAAAACCGACTGTTTAAACAATCGCGTAACCAAAAAACCCAATTAAATGCGTAGGCGTGATCAAGATTGCAATACATAGTGAAATTTTAAATTACCTTATTGGCCAGGTTAATATTTTAGATTAATTTCGTGGACAAACGGTGCGAAGGCCACAACCGGTGCATCTACCCTAGATATTGACCTGCCATCTCTTGATAATTACTTCGACAACTACTGCGAGCAGATTGCGGATGACTGACAGTGTTAACAGAATTTTTGTTGCTACTGTTTGTTCTTACGGTGCATTGTGTAAATAAATGAGGTGAGCTCTGAATCGTTTTATGATTAACTAAAAGATAATTCAAAACATGTTTTAAGACTAAAACGTATGCAGTGGTGATAGATATACCATTTTAGTGTTGAATGTTAACTCAATCATACATCAAAATGTTCTGGGTTATGTTATCAAAAACATGTGGATTTTGGAACAGTGGCCACTCCGAACTAGAATATGCTAAAAGCGATTCACTCTATGAAGGAAGGGGAATTACCTAAGAAAGCCACTGCTGATAGATATAATATACCCCGCACCACATTAAGAGGATATTTTAGAAAATGTGAAGATAATGCGGAAAACATTGACTTAACTTCAGACCTCCTTGAAGGAGCCCCTAAACTGACACCAAATTATGCGGTTAATCAGATTTTTACAGTCGATGAAGAAAATGTGTCACTACTTGCAGACAATAACAAAGTTGCACCATGTAATAAACCCAAGTTGGCCTTCGATTTAGCTATTGCTAACAATAAAAAAATGAATGTCTCATGGAGAGAAAATAAGACAGCTGGTAAGCTCTGGCTTACCGGATTCATGAAACAGCACAAATAGCTATCATTAAGACTAGCGGAAGCTACCTCCCTTGGTAGGGCGATGGGCTTTAATAGAATTGTTGCTTCAACAATTTTCAACAACATCAAAGATATCTACAAGCGATTTAAACTCTCCCCAAATAAAATTCATAATGTCGACGAAACGGCACTAACAAACGTTAAGGGAACTGGAAAAGTGCTAACAAACTGTGTCTAATGAACGGGGAGCTATAGTAACTATGCTATAAATGCGATTGGCAATAAAAGTAGACCACCAAGTTACTTGGATAGTGGATGAAGCATTTTATTCGAAACACCAATCCAACATATGATTCTCTTGTTCTGCTTATCTTCAATAAACATGAAAGTCATGAGTGTCAGCAAAATAATGTTGTTATTTTGCTGACACTCCTACCCCATACAAGTCATCGGCTTCAACCCTTAGATAATGGCGTGTATGGCATTGTCAAAAGGTTTTATAATTACGAATGTCAAACTTGGTTGTTGAGAAATCCAGGAAAAAGGATAACCATATATGACATAGCGGAAATACTACGCGATGCATATCAGCAGGCTTTTTGTCCAAAAAATATTGTTTCATCGTTTGAATTAACACGAATTTTCCTTTTTAATGATAACACCTTTAGCGGTTCAGTTCAGTTTCCGGTTTCAGTTGTCACTGATATAGCTCCCGATGATAAACAGTTAAGGCCATATTCTTCTATCAGCACACCATCAGCAGTGGAAAATGCATATCCGTCAACATCATCACATCAGGATCGACTAGCTGACAGCAACAATGATATCTCAGAGACATCTATTCCAAAGGAAAGAACACCAGAAAAGCATTCTGTGACACCACAAATTTTACAACCATATCCAAAAGTACGAGGGATGTTTTTTAAGTTTTGCATATAGAAACATAGTAGGCCGCGCGGATCGAACGTCAGTACTGAATCTTAACCTCACTCTTTAGTAAACGTAAATTCAAAGTTTCACAACAATACATGCGTTCTCACTACAGTGATTTTTTAAGTGTCGCTAAGTCATTAGAAAAATGGAACTCAACCGAGCACATTTTCGCGCCATAATTTATTACAACTTTCAGAGACAATTATCGCAACAAGAATGACTTGGTGAGTTACTGTCTGTTTTCAGCAACGAAGCGCCACATCAGTCGACCATTTTCCCGTTGGTATCAAGAATTCAAACGTGGACAGGTGAGTCTTAGCGACGATCCCAGGGTGGGTGCACTAAAAACGGCAGTCACCCAGGAAAACGTCGATGCTGAGCGCATCATCATTAGAGATTTTTTCGCGAGATCCCGTAGTGAACCGGAGCGGGAACAGATGGAATTTCCCCTTCCTCTCGAAGTTTTGACAATTTCAAGTTACACCGGGAGTGGTTATATGGCGCATGTTGCGCAAAATGTTTGCTTTAAGCTCCTTGATAAACTTAGCTGCCTTGTTTGAATCTGAAATAAAAATACCGATCGTGTTTTGTGCAATGTACATATATATCAGTAAAATCAATCATTTGATATGACAAGTGCGGGTTAATATATCTTCCATGACCTTCTCCCTCGTCATTTAAAATCAGGTGGACGTGATCCTCCATTTATGATTTAATAATTTACCTCAATTTTCAGCACTGCGAAGACAAATTTTCAATTGAGATGCCTGTTTTTTGAATGACATTGACATAAGACCTGTCACCCGCTAGTACCTCACAGACGGCGGGTACCCGTACCACGTGATTTTTTGACATTCGGACGACGTCACATCCGTCTTCCCCTATTCCCGTTCTTCGCGAAAATTGGAGTATCGGATCCCGGTAGTGCACTGTGCTACACCGTGAAAAAATTCTTATTGAAAATAGACCTGTGACATATCGTGAAATTGAGGCGTCGTTGAAGATCTCAAGGACCTCAATTCAAAAAATTTTATATGAAAAAATAGGAGTAAGAAAATTAGTTACTCGTTGGATACCCCACCTGTTGACTGAAGAGCAGAAAGCAGCCAGGGTTAATTGGTGTCAAAAAACGCTTGACCGTTTCAATTCCGGAAACTCAAAAAATGGGTACAGCATTTTTAGTGGTGATGAATCTTGGATTTGCTGTTATGGACCAGAAAATAAACGACAGTCGGCTGTTTGGGTGTTCCAAGGTGAAGAAAAGCCAACAAAAGTCATCCGTTCTCGAAGTGTTTCGAAAAAGATGGTCGCGACATTTGTGTCAAAAGCTGGTCATATTGCAACAATTCCTGTTGATGAGCAAAGAACTGTTACTGCGGATTGGTATACCACCATTTGTTTACGAAAAGTCATCACCGAGCTTCGAAAAATCAACCCTGAAAGAAGAATCATCCTCCACCAAGACAATGCAAGCCCGCACACAGAACAAAAAGAATGCAGTATTTAACGGAAGAAAACGTGGAATTATTGGACCATCCTCCATATAGACCCGATCTAAGTCCTCAGGATTTCTTTACTTTCCCGAAAATTAAAAACAGACTGCGTAGTCTCAAAGGTTCCAGTCACCAGAAGAAGCAGTTGACGCATTCAAAAATGCCGTTTTGGGTCTACCAGCAAACGAGTGGAATAAGTGCTTCGAAAATTGGTTCGAGCACATGCAGATGTGAATTAATCTTCGTGGAAAAAACTTCAAAAAACAATAAAGTCATTTAAAACTACCCACCGTGTTGTTTTATTTCCATATGCAAAACTTAAAAGACATCCCTCGTAACACCGGCGCCTTCAAAGAAGCAACAGAAGAAAAAACCTACCGAAATTCTGACTGATACCCCTATACAATGCGTTTGGTCACGACATACCGATATTTAAGAGGGGTATTTTTCAGCTATTTTTATCAACAAATCCACACCCCTACAATGTCCTACCTCAACCCCCTTGAAATGGCAGCCATTTTTATTTTTACGATTACGGTAGTGCATGTATGAAAATTGTAACAACTGAGTATGTAATTGTCAGAGAATGATAAATTTGGTGTCATTTGAACGATGTTGTCCTAGCGATTATTGAAAAACTTGTTTTGATACTCACCGTCAAACATACTTAAAAACAGACACAAACATAAAAAAATATGGAAGAAAATTGATTATTTTGTGCATTTCCGCACGCCACACAAAAACTAGTCTGTGGAGTTGGACTTTTGTTGTGCTAATTCTACAGCTATTTGTTATCCTAAGTATTCTCGTTAAGCAATAAATGCTATCTAACATGGGTCAAATAAAATGCAAATCGTTTTCAAACTCTCTATACATGAAATAACAAATCAATGTTTCTTATAGAGAGCTTGGACATACTTAATGCTACAGAAGTTGTTCAAAATGTCCTCCATTATTGGTCATGCACATTGTTGTTCTTAAAAAAATTTGTCGTGTTGAGCGGCAGACCATATCCGTGTCAGCCCTAATTTCATTCGCAGCGGTATGGATCCATTTCAAGGATGGTGAGGTAGGACATTGTAGGGGGTGGATTTGTCGATAAAAATAGCTGAAAAATATCCCCCTCAAATATCGGTATGACATGACCAAACACATTGTATATAAGCGAATTGAAGAAGAGAACGCAAAGAAAAAAATCAGAAAAAGTAAATAAGCAGAAAGGAGTTATGTAAAAGAAATATTTGTTCGTTAGATAAGATTGAAACAACCAACAAGAAAAAAATGAGTCTAGTGATGAAAGCAACAATATTGAGATATCTGACCTCACGGATTCTGCCGATGTTAATATATTCTAAGTGTTTTATTTTAATAAAATTTTGTATAAGTACTTAATGAAGCATAATAAGTAAATGATAAAAATTTCAAAATGATTGCACTGCTTTAAAGCCCTTTGACCTTTAATAATGTGTGGATGCACCCTGATGTGCTACGCATTCTCCAACGCGCCTAGGCATGCTTCTGATCAGGTGGTCAATGTCCTCCTGTGGTATCTCATTCCAGGCAACCACCAACTCCTCTCGAAGTGCTTCTAGAGTCTGAGGAGGACGTTGCAAATTGAGCAATCTCCTACCCATCATATCCCACACGTGCTCAATTGGGGATAAGTCGGGAGATCTTGGTGGCCATGGTAACAATGTGACATCATTATGTTGAAAGAAGTCTATTGTGGCTCTTGCAACATGTGGTCGGGCATTATCTTGTTGGAAAGTTGGATCTGCCAGGGTGTCAAGATAGGGTAAAAGATGGGGTTCTAGAACTTCGTGGATATACCTCTGATGAAGATTAAAGGTGACCTGGAACCATAAGCTATAGCACCCCAAACCATAACTCCAACAGTGTGATGAACATGTCTTTCAACAAAAAACTGTGGACTCCTCCTTTCACCACGTCGCCTTCTAACCCTGGCACGACCATCGTGCATGCCTAAACAAAATCGAGACTCGTCACTAAAGACAATACTGTTCCATTCCTGATCCCAGAGTGACCGTTGTCTGCACCACTCAAGGCGATTACGTCGGTGTTCTCGAGTTAAAGGGAGGACCCAGTGTGGCCGGTATGAAAACAAGCCAAAACTTCTCATTCGTCGGTAAACACTTCGCATGCCAATAGGTCTTCCGTGTTCTGCAAACCATTCATTTGCAATGGACCTGGTAGTGGAGAAACGGTCCCTTAAGGCCAATAATCTTAGGCGGCGATCTTCACGGTCTGTTGTTCTACGGCGGTGTCCAGTGCACCTTGCTCTTTGCGTAGGGCCTTCTCGAAGCCATGCCTGACAACACCTAACCACAGTGTCTACACTTCTTTGCACTCTAACTGCAATTGCCCGAAAAGAAAGTCCAGCTTCCCGAAGTCCCACTATACGGCTCCTATCAAACTCACTAAGTTGACGAAATTGTACAGGTCTCCGTACTCTAGGCATCGTAACCGATCGTAAAGGATGTCAAGAACCAAAATCCGCCAACGTTGATTCTTTACTGCGGCTGAAATATTCATTTTTAGAGCATTAGTGAATTAAAAAAAAGCAGTATAAAAACCGGAATGTCCAACTGATAACGCTGAAAATTTTTTCACTTGTTATTTACAGTAAGATAAATACATTCACCAACTTTTATTAAAATAAAACCATTTAAACTGGGTGTTCGGATTTATATGTCACTTAGTATATTTTCAGAATGCGATGAACATGTTGAAGCATAAAAATTACAGAAATATTTGCGGAGAGGAAGAATACAGCAGCAACTAGTAGAACAGCAAATTTATTTTCAATTGGTGTAGATCTTATTGTGTGTATATTTTGAAGACGGCTATGTTTTGTTTTATCAGTATATGCATCAAAGGAATATAAATAATTTATTTTCTTGTTGTTGTTTTATTACTATTACAACCTAATCCACCAAGCAGTGGCCATTGTACCTTAGCTAAAAGGTCACTGTACCTGACTAGATGGTACAGAGGAAATGTTTTAAACACTTTATACTTTTTTAAATAACTCAGCTGTTAATATTTTTTTCCTTAACTTCATACGCTATTATGTCATGGATATACGGTTGATTTGTATTTCCTGCCACTATTGCGTTTACTTCGAGTTTTATCGACTGTACCAGTCTCTCCCCTACTCGGACTCAAGCTGGAAGTTTACAGGGTGGCCCGTCCATGTGTGGACGGAATATTACTCATAAACAAATAGATTTTGGGAAAACCTATTTATGGGATGTTATACATACAATGTTGTGATTTTTCAAATGGAAGGCCTCAAATTTTATTGCATATTTGGATAAACGAATTCAAAAGAAGGAAACTGATATAACATACAATGGGGTTTTGGTAATTAGCTACTGAGATATAAGGTGTTTTGTCTAGAAAAACCCCCCACTTCGGCAACCCCTCAGTCCGCCATTTTGAAACTTGGAGTGATGAATTTTGTATAAAAAAAATTACACACCTCAGCTTTTATCATATTTGTTCCTTTTTCGAATTTTGAGTTTTGCTCGTACAGGGTGGTCAAAAATGCAAATTGTAGTTTTTCTCAAAAATTTCAAATGCATCACCCTGTATACGTCCTTTATTGAATGGCTTAATTCCCTAAAATATCGCATCATCCTTGGAAACAAATAAATTGTTGATTAGTTACAAACTGTCAAAATTAGCTTTGTGAGCATTATAATAGAAACGTGTTTGAAAATAAATTTTTCTAAAGAAGATATGGTGAATATGGTGTTGGTTCGCATCTCGCATTTATAAGCAACGGTGCACTATTATGCGACAGAAAACCCTTACTGTGTTAGGCAAATAAATTTCCAAAATAAATCGCACTTGAATGTTTGGGGAGGAGTTATTGTCAGACAAGTTATCGAGTCTTTCTTTTTCGACAACAGATTAATAGGTACAGAATACTTGAATTTTTTAATCGAGCATTTGCCTTTGCTTTTGGAGGATGTCAACATGCAAGCTCGGATGCATATGTACTTCCAACATGACGGCGCACCTGTGGATTATCATAATCGTGTGCGTAACTATTTGGACACCTGGAGTAACAATCGTTGGATCGGTAGTGATGTGCCTATATCTTGGCTTCCTAGATCACCAGATATGACACCGATGGACTTCTTTCTATGGGGCTATGTTAAGCAAGAGGTTTTTAGATATCCACCATCTACCCCGGAAAATATGAAGGAAAGGATTAAGGATGCTTTTCTGAACCTAAGGGAACACATGCTGAGGGATGTGCAACGGTCATTTATCCAAAGACTACGGCTGTGGTGGAGATATTTTCGAGCCATTTTTGTAGATTAGGTCTTGAGTAGTGATAGTTATTTGTTTATGTTGTTGTTATAGTTGCTTTTCTCTATTACGCTTGAAGCTGATTTATACTGTTCTGATTGTTATTAGTTATGAAAGCTTAACACCCAAAATCTAGTAATTTTATCTGAATCAAACGTTAAACCAAAAAAAAGCTTATAAAAAATTGAATCCGAACTTACACAAATATACAGGGTGATGCAATTGAAATTTTTGAGAAAAAGCACAATTCGCGTTTTCGACCACCCTGTATGAGCAAAAATTAAAATTCGAAAAGGTAAGTTTTTTTTTATACAAAATTCAGCACTCCCAATTCCTAAATGGCGGATTGAGGGGTTGCCGAAGTGGACGGTTTTTCTGGACAAAACACCTTACATCTCAGTAACTAATTACCAAAATCCCATAGTGTATTATATCAATCTTCTTCTTTTGAATTGGTTTATCCAAATGTGCAATAAATTTGAGGCATTCTATTTAAAAAATCACAACTTTGATATGTAGGTCAACATTGGGACACCCTGTATAATTGCCAATATTTTAGTAATGTGACCTCAAACAGCATGTATAACATGCCATAAATAGATTTACCCAAAATGTATTTGCTTATGAGTAATATTCCGTCCACACATGGATGGGCCACCTTGTATAGTCATTTTGAACAGTTCTGAATTTTTGACGAAAAGTTGCAGAAGACTTATCTGTTAATTATCCTGATATGTCGCAGAAAACATTCTTTGATCAAACTGGCCAATGAGTACCTCAAAAATTAATATCTGTAAGAGCTGTGAAAATACATTTATGAAATTGGTCAACTAGGACATACACTGTATGATACATTATTATGGAATAGGTACGCTGTCACAAAATACCCCTTTATCTCCATCAATGTCTAGCCTCCAAATTACGTACTCTACTTCAATTAAGATAGAAGA